GGGTGGTCAGAGCCCTAACCCCTGCATTGTTCAAGGGCCAACTGTATGCAGTAGGAGTCCTCTTATCTCACAGTTTGAACTAGCAGTTAATCAAAAAACATCAAGCTGAAGTGGGGAATCATGAAAAGAGAATGCATTCGACTTAAAGTTAGAACATACAAACGCACACACCTTCAGCATTCTGTCAATGTGGGGCATCCTTGGCCTTCGCTTTGGAATCCTGCCCAACTGTCTTGCAGAGACCACACCAGCGTTCACCATCCTCAGTTTCCAATTTGCATTTATGTAAAAAGCAAGCAGGAACCTAAAACTATTAGAATTCCTTCTGGAGTTTTTCAGGATTTCCCCCCATTCTTATAGACAAATTTTCTTGCCCGCGCCGCATTTTGGCAATTTTTTCCGGTGACTTGCCTTTTTGGGTCTTCTCGAAACATCACTGGATGCCACAGCGCTTCTGCAGTCAGGTTTCCGTAGTTCGCACGAAGACCACGGCGACGACAGCAGGTGCAAAGGACAGAAACAGACACAGGTGCAGTCGACACCGGGCAAGCACCTGTGGCAGGAACACCAGCGTGGGCAGTGCAGGGAGGGAGCCAGAAGCACTTAGTCACAGCTGTGTTTTGTTGGCAAATAGGTTAAACGGGAGTTGGTTGGTCAAGGGCACTTTTCTTGGATGTGTTAGAAATGCTTTCGCTCTGAATGTTTGCAAATCCCTCCCGTGATACGTTCTACCCTAGGTGTGGTCCGGGGTTCCTGCAGAAACGACGTGCCCCAAAAGACACCGGTTTGACATGCTGGCCGAGCTGGAACACGACGTCAGCGTGAGTACCAGCAACGACACTCCTGAGCCCGAGGGAGGGTGGGCTGTTCTTGGTCTTAACCTGTGTTTTCATTTTTTTGCTTCATTTTATTTCGCTTGTGGGAGGAGAGCACGGGCTCTCCGTTCTTTTCTTTGACTCGACTCTGGGTTTCCAAGTCTGCTTTGCCTTTTTTTCTCCAATTTGCTGTTTCTCTGAGAATCAGCTACTGTCCAATCCAATTTCTGAGCATGACAATGACTATTTAGATCCCCTCGAACTATTTGGGGCAAGAAAGTATGCCCCATCGTCTCTCATGTTTTCCAGCACATTAGTAGAAGGGACTATCTAGCGTGACACCCTCCAACAGCCAAGAACGTAAACCTGGTGTTGGGTGGCCCGGGCGCACATGACCTGGGGCAGAACCAGAGCTCACACTTGGTTCCCCTCACTCGTTCCACAACCAGTGGGTCACACAGCTGCTCCTCCCACTGGAGCTCACGGTACTGTCTTTTCTCTGAGATGGTGACCTGAAACCTGATTTGCATGGTCGACAGACGAGCTAAGGTTCAGAAATATTTAGAGTATGTGATTCCAGGCACGCACGCAAATATAACCCGAGCGATCCCCATTTCTCCGAAATCCCTCAAATAACATGGATCACCTGTGCCTCAGTTTGGTACCTCGTTACAATTTGTAATTCACAAGTTATTCAGTTATTCAGAAACTGTCGATTTTGGGCTATTAAAAAGAATTTCTTTTAACACTTTTTGAGACAGAGAGTGTGAGTGGGAAAGGGACAGAGAGAGAGGGAGTCACAGATTCCGAAGCAGGCTCCAGGCCCTGAGCTGTCAGCGCAGAGCCAGACAAGGGGCTCGAACTCTCGAACCACGAGATCATGACCTGAGCCGAAGTCGGCCACTGGACCGACTGAGCCACCCGGGCACCCCAATTTTAGGCTCTTTTAAAACTGCATTCCATTTACGTTGGCAATATTTCATTTTGTTCACTAGCATATGAAGAATTTCATTTTTCAGTAACTGCGTAGGCGATGTTGAAACACGTCTGCATTAGCCACATCAGTACACTGTCCGTTAGAGCTTAACCTTCATCACGTGCACATAGTCGAGTCAGCCTAGGGAAACCACGATGACCGTAATTCTAAATGGATTACGACGTTATGTGTTTCCTTCCTCAGGTAGATACAATTAGCCTAAATGCCGCAGGTACGATGTTGGTCTCGGGCACCAGAGAAGGCACAGTGAGTATCTGGGACCTCACCACGGCCACCATACTGCACCAGATCCCGTGCCATTCGGGGACCATACGTGATGCTGCTTTTAGCCCAGGTAGTTTTATCCTTTTTAATACAGAGGATACTGGGGGAATCAGAATTGTTATCTTGAAATCATAAGAATGTAAAAAGAAAAACAGGCTGCCGATAGAAGTAGTTTCGCCTGTATCCAAGGCTGCTTCGTGGCAGAATACGGGCTACTTGGGCCATTTGTACCTCCAGGAGAGCTACGGCGGACGCTGCTCTTAATTCGCCAGCTCACCAGAGGAACTGATTTATAGTGCGCGGGTGGACTCACCCCAAAGGGTCATCGGCCCAGTGTCTTAGAAACAAACGTTTCCAGGAGAGGAGAGTCCTTGGTTAAGTACAAGCAGCTCAGGGAAAATGCAAGCGAACACTATGCCAGAGATGAAACGTCAGAACGATCTAGAACACACTTCTGAAGCTGTAGTTGTCTCTCGCGTTACAGACAGTCGCCACGTCCTCAGCACAGGTGCAGATGGCTGTCTAAACGTCATAGATGTGCAGACGGGAATGCTCATCTCCTCTATGACCTCAGACGAGCCCCAGAGGTATGTTCTCTTGCGTTACTAGAGGGCGAAGACGTTCGCGGACAAGCTCGTGATCGTGACATTTGGGCTTGCTTTGGCCAGCGTGGATAGGGCCCTTCCTTCATGATAAATGACCAAATGACTATTTCTAAATCATTGTTGCAGGTGCTTCATCTGGGATGGAAATTCTGTTTTGTCTGGAAGTCAGTCTGGTGAACTGCTTGTTTGGGACCTCCTCGGAGGAAAGCTCAGTGAGAGAATACAGGGCCACACAGGTAAGCGGTTATGCAGTTGACTTGACCTTTCTTCCTAAAAGGCTGAACTCCAACCTGCTTTTCCCATCAGGAAACCTACCTTTCCCAGGCAGAAAACACCCCACTGCCCTCCACGTCGTAAACGTTCCCCACGAGCATCTTCATTGGCCAAGTGACCCTTCGGGACGGAGATTTATGTTGACTGACTCCAAAAAAGAAGTTTTTGCATTAACTCCCACTTGGAGAATTAAAAACCATAGTAAAAGCTGCAACTTTTTTAAGTACATGCACAAAGTTTTTTAAAAACCCCAAAACAGCACAAAAGTAATTAATTTCAGTAAAAACGATCTTCCTCCCACCACTGACCCCCTTCCTCCCTGTTCTCCTTTGAGGACTTTCTTCCAGTTTGCGTCCTGGGTGTGGGTGCACTCGCTGTTGAGATGATGGATGTGTTGTACGTGTATGAAGTATTCTGCCCTTTTATTCCCACCCAGTATCCCCTGGAGACTCACTGTATGTGCTTCTATTTGCACGGTTGCCTCCTCATCTCGAAGATTTATGGTCTTTAATTCTTCTAGTTTCTAAGGTTATAAGTATCTACTTTTCCACTGTGACCAGGAACTTCCCCCCGACATCCTCTTCCCTCTTTCCTTTGGTGACATTGTTATTTCTTCACGTTCTAAAGTGACCTGTGTAGGTCATTCTCAGTTTACCGGCTTTAAATAACCTTTGACTCTGTCCAGTAAATGGACTTCGCAGCCTTACACCAATTCCTTACCTCTTCCTCTCGTCTGCCTCCTGTTATCGTAGGTGTATATACTTGCATTCTGGTGTTACCCCTAATCCTCCGTTATCTCAGCTTTACACGTGAGCGGTTTCTCATTCCTCACACGTTCCTTGTGCCAAGCAGTTATTTTTCATTGACACACCGATTATAGGATGAGAGTACTTAACAGCGGATCTCGGGGCCCCCTGGTCAACTTGCCACCTAACCACACGGTCTCTTTCCCTTAGGTGCTGTGACATGTATGTGGATGAATGAACAGTGTAGCAGTATCATCACAGGAGGGGAAGACAGACAAATTATGTTCTGGAAATTGCAGTATTAAGTGCCTTTTCCTCTCTTGAATGTTAAGTCGAACTCTAATGTATTTTTAAACCAAACTTTGAAATCAACTGGTGAATGTGCAATGATGGTATTCGAAGTTTTACCACACGAGGTATTTGTGGTTTTAAACTTCCAAAATCATGGTGACTTCGTTGAAAGCCATTGGTCGCCATCCTCTAAGGCGGACAAAACGTGGTGGTGGTAGGGAGAAAACATTACATCTGTAAGGCAGGTGTTCGTCCCGGGGTGCTGATGGTCAGACGGCAGGTTTGAGTGGCAAAGAAAAGTAGCTAAGAGATACAAAACGGAGTTGGGACAACTTCCAAAAAACGCTGAGCAGCTCAGAATTTTCCAAGAAAACGTGCAGTATTCTCTGCTACTTCTGAGTCACGCTGTTTTGTCTTCCTTACCTACGAAATTGCTGCCCATTGGGTCCTTGGGTATGTGTTTTTCATGGAGTGGTTTACTTTGTATAACCTACTGTTCTCAGATTCTAAGAACCTGGGGAAGGATCAGCAATTCTTGTAACAGTAAGTTTACTGTGTACAGGACAGTTTATTTCATTATAGCTATTAAATGCTCTTTTCTACATTAAAAATATTTTTCTGTAATGAAAGCTGTTTTCATTTTCTTAAGTGATTTATTACCAAGGCTAGTGCCCTTTACAAACTTCAAGTATTGGTCCTTCTAGAAAACCATACTTAGTGATGAGAATGTCCTTCTTATATTTTTGGAACTGTCTTCAGATAGTCCAAATCCAGAGAACAAAACAAGGTAAAGTAAACGGGGAAATATTGTTTGGTTTGCTTTTCTAAATCTCAAGATAAGATGTTAAACAGTACTGATTTGCCTTTATGTTAAAACTCTTCTATGATCTTTAAAAACATTGTTAGGTCTTATAGGCCGTATCACATGGGGGGGGGGGGGGAACTTGACCAGGGTAACAAGTGTCATTAAACAAACATGACTCAGTCTCAGGTTTGCAAGGAGCCTCAGTGGCTTCCTGTTGCTCTGCCTGGATGTGCACACCAGCCCTCTGGGGTTCGGAGGCGGAAGCACTTCTCCTGACAGACGCTCCTCCTCCTCTCTCAGCACAGAGGGCTCTTCTCAGGGCCCGTGGACGTCAGCTGCTCCGGGAGACAACCCCACGGGCCTGTCTTCTAAGTCATGCGCAAGTTTGGTGAAATCCATGGACAGTTTCCAAATGATGCAATAAATAGGCTAAAAGTTAACTTTATTTATACATATTTAATTAAAATGGAATAGGCATAAACCAAAACAAAAAACAAAAAAATGAAGGTAATGTGTCATATGCCACTTGGTTTGTAGGGAGGGGTCAGGAAATGGAATTACCTGGAAGACATCCTAAGGCCATCCCGAAGTAGCTAGGTTACATAATGTTAGAGTAAATGACAAAATTAGATACTATTCCACTTAATCTACAAATGAAAAAAGAGAGTCAAAGTTTATCCTATTTGGTATAAGAATTTTTACAGTTAATACATACTGATTCATTTCTAGGAAGGAAGGTCAGTAACTTTTGAAGAAAGAAATTTCCATTACACGACGACTAGAAAATCTCCAATGCAACTAAGCAGCTATGCGGTAGCTCAGTATGTACCATTAACCGTTCTGGGCTAGTGTACATTTCAGTTTAATACAGAACTGCATTCTGGGTTTTAGAAAGGCAGCAATAGTTCTATTTTGGCTTTTATTCTAGATGCTTAACACAGTTAAGGCGACAGTTCAAGCATATAGAGTAAAGGTAGTTACAATTTAATGATGATCAACACAGTCTTTTGCAACCTACACTGTATAATGCTTACACGGAATGAAACCAGTGTTGTTAATTGGTGTTTGACTCACGCACGCACGCAGAACTAAAAAACCATCAAAAGCAATCATTCTACACGCACTATGGCAACACATTAAAAAGGCAATTATACCACAGAACTAAAGTAACGTGAGCGGCACTACTTGATATACAGGATAAAGGTGATTCCTTCTAACACAGAGCTAAGCCTGTATCAGTCATTCTAATCATAATGGCTTGTAAAAGCATCGGGTTTCCAGTAGAGAAACTACTCTATGAAAATCAGTAAATCTGTCCAAAGTTTCACATCTGTAAAACCAGGATAAGGCTACAACGATCTTGAAGTGGGAGGAGATATCCGATCAAAACAGTTAAGATTCCCAGCCATAATGTAAGATAGAAAGGTCTTCATGCAGCATATGCTCTCTGGCTCCTAGAAAGCTTCATGTGCATAATATAAAGTTAAGTTGCCCAAGAAGTAAACTGGAGAAGTTCAGTGAAGTTTCCATTGTGCCATGACGTTTAAACTTCAGGAATGGTGTGATCCATCAGGCTTTTCATAATGCTTGGGGCCATCCTACGAGAGAGTTTATTAAATACTGAGGTTTGGGTTTCTTGGTTCAAAAAAGCTATTATGCTGATCCAAGAAAACTCGCACTCAAGCTTAGCACTTGGGATCAAGTGGAACTGTGGGCAGAGGGAAGGTCTTTTTCATGAGTTCTAAGAGTCTCAGGTAATCTAGTTCACAAAATACCCATTGTGAAAGGCTGGGAAAAGTTAGATCAGATACAAGTGCTTGAATATTAATACCGGTGACTAAAACAAGGAAAATGACAACACTGCTATGAACTGGGAGGGAAAGGGGAAGGGAGACCCTATCGCTGGTTTAAGAGAACTCTGACTAGTCTCGACTCCAGCTTCCTTTTCCTTCTTTCCATAAACACAAACTTTACTAAGGTATAATGTTTTTACTCTTTTAAATCCTATCTCTACAGGCAAGACAGAATCTGAAAAAAGGATCCAAGTTGGCTTGGTAAAAACAGCTGACAGAAGCCAGGATTTCAAAGGTTCTAGGGAAGGTAACACTAGCTGTCCCTCTTCTCTTCCCCCAAGTCAGTTTTCCAGCCTCCCTTCCTGAGAACCATGGTGGCACCACACGCCTGACCTGCCTCGTGAGATGTTTTCAGAATAGGCACTGTTACTCCTAACATCCCACAGGCAGGAATTCTCCCATCGTGAACCCCCACGAGTAGATTTCTACTGAGCAGAGGAACTGCGGGCAGAGTGCAACTCTAGTCCATTTTACTGAAGCTGAAGTGAAAGCCTGCCCACTTCTGCTCACGTCCCTCTTTTCTACGAGAAAAGGTCAAAATTTCAGAAGCAGATGGTGAATTTTATTCAATACTTGGGAAGTTGTGAGTGGTCATCCTTACCAATTCCCCTGATTTAAATATTAACTTCAAATTTCAAGATCAACACGTCATCCCTTAGGTAAAAGAACCATAGATGGAGGAATTCATAGGCACAAGGACTTTCTTTTACCTCACAGGACTGGAAGCACCAAGTTGAAGTACGGTCTACTTACCGTTTGATAATATGTTCAAAGATAAAAGCAGGCATGATCGTAATAGTAACTACAGACTCAGATGTTGACAGTATGTCTGCAATTTGAGAGTCCTGTTAAAAACACACAATGAAAATTAATTCTAAGGCTTTAAGAAGTATGAAATTATGTTATTCTTGGTAAAAATGTATGTCCACATACGTTTTGCTAATGATTCTAAAATCTGACCCTTGATATTTGGTATTTTTTCTAGTTTCACCAAGTTTAATTCTATAGAATGGTATAGAATTTTATAGGTGGTAACAAAACTGCTAAGTAAACTAAGTATTGTAGCCAAAGAATCATCTTTTTCATTACTTAAGATGAAATAATTTTCTTCATGTACAAGACTTCCCGTGTCCTCTCAGTTAACAGTGCGTTCTTAACCAAGTTCATGAAACGAGCAGGTCTTAATGAAAACCTTTCGACCCTAACATAGCCTTATTTAGGAATCTGTGGAGGGGGAAAATGTGGTACTAATCTAAACAGAAACCATTACTCACTTCCTACCATTCCTGGGTTGGAAAAAGCTGAGCAATCACTCATTCAGAATGTCCTCAAAATCCTCAATGCCCACATCTCCACAGAATTCTAGTTCAAGGGACTGCAGAGATCATAGTAGTCAAGCCCTGTGCTATAGGAACGACAATTCCAGAGAATAGTCCAGGTAATTCCTTTGGCCTGAGAGCACAGCCAGAGTCCTAGTTCCCACATCTCCCCAAGTTCCTATTTATTTTGCAAGTCTACATGCAAATGCCACTGAAACAAATGGGAAAGGTAGCACGAGACCCAAGTTCTGTTCTCACCTTCAGCCCAATGACATTCTGCCCGTTGACTTCACAGATGTTGTGCTCTGTGAGAAGACCATTTCTGGCTGCAGAACTGTCTTTCACTATGGATGTTATCTTTCCATTTTTAAAGATAAACCCAACATGTCCGGTGCTATCCTTATGCATGGTAATCGTCCGTTCAAAGGGCCTGCAGACATAATGGGTTAAGTGAAAAATTTAATTCTATTGGCCCAAGTTACTCTTCACAATTCTCCTTAAAGTAGAGAAGATGTTCCATCTGCAGAATGTTTACTAAACACCTACCGTGTGAGAAATTAGGAACAAAATTAGATAAAACCGAAGTATAACTGAGAAGAATAAAAACCCAAAAGCTAACTGTACCAATGTGACATAGGTCGACCCTTAACACTTGCTAAGGGGCAGGAAAATAGAGGCCTTATTTCCGTGCCAAATGTTTGGTTTATAAACTGCTAAATATAAAAATGCCACCTTTCTACCTTGGCAACTAGAGCTTCATAACCCCCCTGAAGGCCAGATTTGGTTTTTAGAACTCCCACCCCAACTTGGGAGTTCTGCAGGGACCCTGGCACTGTGTCCCTCCTACGCTGGATGTCTAAACAGTAAACTGGAAAGTGAGGCCAGAGATGCCATACTGCTTGCCCTTCCAATGTTCATTTACTACGATCTAGAGAAAGAGACAGGAAGGTAACTTCTAGAGGATGCATACAAAACCAGAATGCTCTGAAAATTTTTAAGAAAAATCGGCACCGAACAACTGCAAGACTGTAAGGCTA